CGATGTACTTCCTTTCTTTCTTCCTTCCTTGTTTATCTTCTTTCCTTTTTTGTTTTTTCTTCCTTCCTTTTTATAATTGCTTCTATTTTCACTCCAACAAACTTATTTCCCCACGTCTAGTACTTATTAGTTGCATAAAATCTAGCTATATAATATATATATGCTTCCTCAAGTAAGATGGCCAAGCCTTTTTCAACCAATTTCCCGTTGACGGATCTTTAACAATAACTAAACATCGTTTTCTCGATTTCCTTTGTTTTATTATATCTTTTTTTTTGTTTTTTCTCTGGTTAGCAACTCATTTCATAATATTATGTAAAAATATATTTCCTGGCAATTACAATCATGAACTAACATAACATAAGATTAAAAAAGTAAATATAAATATATTTTATGATTTATTTTTTATATTAATAATTTTTTATTTTTTTTTATATTACAAAATATATCATAGAATCAATTTTTTCTTTTTTTTTGATTTATACAACCGTGACATTTGAATAAAAAAAATTAAGGTTATAAATCGGGTTGATGAAAATTAAGGTTACGAAATTATGAATATTAAATAAAATATTATTTTTTAAAAAGGGGTTATACATGATATCAAGAAGAGTCATAATGTGTATTTTTTTTTTCTTTTTCAAATAGAATACCCTATTTTTTTTTATAAGAAAAGTAGTAAACATTGTTTGTCTTGATGCTAATTATTAATGAGATATTACCAAATGTTTAAAAGATTGTTCTGGATATTCCTGAACCTGATACGTAATAATTTTATGCAGTGACATATGTATTAGAGTTAAGTTTAGATTAGGACACAAGATACATCATTTTTAGGGTATTAAAAACATCAAAAAAGGATTAGGAAAAGGGTTTAAAAAGAGTTACGACTTCGGTTTCGGTTGTTTGAAAATAGCTATGAGAACCGTACCAGATTTTGTATTATTTAAATATGAATTGTACACATAATATTTATTGATTAGCATATAAACGAAACTAACCTAAAGGCGACACGTATTCTCGAGCTGAACACGTATTCTCGTATTCAAAATTGCATTTTTTTCTAAATAGATTTCATATTATACATTTTTTTTTTGAATGAAAAACCTCTTTTTTTCCTATATTTTTCTTTTCGAGTAGATTTTTCAATTACAGAGATTCATGTGGCACAGTGGCAATGACAGTTAGAAAAATAGTTAATCACGAGCGTTCATTATCTAAAGTAAACACGCATAAAGTACTTTTATAAGAATTTAATTAATGTCACGTTAGTTTTCAACGTAGAAATACATTTTCAACTACTACTTTTTTACTTTTGATATAACGGGACATCTTATAGTTATATTTTCTTCTTTTTAGAATATCTTTCTATGCTTATTTTTTTTTGTCGATATAAATAAAAAATATATTTAGTCAAACTTTATTCATTCCTTCATCGTAATACTTTAAACTCACGAATGTAGAATTACTTTTATTCTACGCGATCTATCATAAACCTTAATTTCATTTTCTAACCAACATCTATCGTGGATATAACATAATTCAGTTTTAAACGAGCAATAGTAGCATAGTACGAGTATAATAAATAACTCAAGTAAACATTTATCTCTTTCTTGATTATTATCGATATTATTTTTCATTCCTTCGCGTTACTTTCTTTTTCTTTTCTATTTTATATTACACGTTTCACCTTTAATTCATTTTTTCTTATTCAACTAGTATCATGCTATAATCATATAGAATCAAATAATTAATTAATCCTAACTCATCATTTGATCGTATTTAATTGTAATATAAAACACACACACACGTATGAAAGTGTTTTTATTTTGGAAAATTGGATCTGCCAGGTTTTAGTAAACCAGAAGTCCGTTTACTTTGTAAATAGAAAATACTATTTGTAAATGATAGTAAACCCTTTTGGTAAACGTTATACGTTGCGTATCTTGAGTTTGGTTGAAGTAATTTAATGTTGAAGAAAATAACGAACGAGTGGATGAAGAAACACGAAAACAATTCGTGTGTTAATGGAAAAAAGATAAAAAGGAGAAGAAAGAAAGAAAGAGATGTAGAAAGTGAGAAAGGAGTAGAGGGGAAGAGAGAGAAGAGAGAGAAGAGAGAGAAGAGAGAGAGAAGAGAGGAAGAGAGAGAGAACATAGTAAAGGTTCGGACCAGTTAAAACATGAGTTTAACTCTCAGTCAGCGGCCAGAGTTCGTCGTGCGCGCGTCGTAGTTTCCTTAGTTTATGTGTGTTCCTCAACCGTATGAAAATACATTGAGCTGCTCTACTTATTTCTAAGTGAAACGTAAAACGATATTAGAAACGGTATATAAACTTAAATATCCTCATTTTTTATTTTTTTAAATATTTTTCTCAATAGCGTTCTCATCCACGTATTCACCATTTCTTCGTGGTACGACGATATATATGTATATATATTATTATTATTAAAGATATATTAATTTTTAATTTCTTTTTTTTATAATATAATCCTTTTTATTTTATCGGCTAATATTTCTTTGTATTTTTTTTCTTTTTCTTTCTTTTATTTACTTTGCTTCGTTCCGATTATATAAACGTTGTTTCCGTACTTTTTTTTTTTTTTAATGGTATAACGATTATTTTTTAACAAAAACAAATTGTAAGGTAATATATTTATCGTGAATATTCGTATTGGAATTTTTATATCGAAATCGTTAATATTTAAATAGGAATATGTGTAGGCTGCATTTGTTAGATGTTCAATTGAATATTCAGGATAGTTTTTTATATATATAAAAAAAAAAAAGAAATATTTACTTTTATTTTTCTTTCTACGTTTTTTAATGGTTTTTTTTTCTTTTTTTCAACCAAAATATTGTCCCTTTTGATCATTTGGTTATAACGATAAGTCGAGTTTCTTTTTGATTTCTTTTTGTTTTCTTTTTATCTACAGCTTACAAAGTAATCCGAGTGCTGATAAAGAGTAAAATGGTAGAATAAAAGGTACAAAGAGAATATATTAAAGTATAGAATATATTGAAAGTTTCAACCTTTGACATTTTATATATTTATCATTGGAAAGGGCATATATTTTTTTTAATTGAATGGCTGAAGAGGAACGAATTACGAGTAAAATTTTTGTCAACAGTATGGAATATTTGTCTAACGATGATAAAAGCTCAGAGTTGTAAAATTTATTACATTTTTCTCGGTATCCGACATAGAAAATATTTTATTCTTTTTTACCGAGAATGAAATTATTTCAAGAGAAACTAAAAGCAACAAAATATTTTTGTATATCTTTGTGTGAAAATTATTTATTATATGTGGGTAGTGAAAAAATATTCATAATGGAACTCCGACGGATTTCCGGTGTTGATTAAATGTTATTCCCCAAACTCTTCCGATTGAAAAATAATAGAAATATTGATTTTGTTCCCGTAACAATGGATGCCGATTGTTTGAAATAAAACTATAGGAAAACAAAACATATCCCTTGGTAAAAGAAAAAAATACATTTTATTAATGACTTATATCCGAACGGATATCAATTATCATTAAAATTTTACAGCCAAAAATAAAAAACACGAGGAATTCAAATTCTGCACTTTTCGGACGACTAAGATTAATTTTTTATTTAATCCTCTTTTTCTTTTTCTTTTTCTTTTTCTTTTTCTTTTTTCAATTTACTTTCTTTCTCGCAACCTAGTTTCGTTTAAAAGAACTGCGAGACGTTTTATATAAAAAGGGAACAATACTATAACTTTCTTTATTCCATACTCGCACGCACACACACACATACAATAGTTAAAAGTTGAAACGTGATCAGATTAAAATAAACCTATTTTAAAAGACGTTAAATGTCAACATTTTTTTGATTAAGAAACTTGTTACTCGGTTTAGATAAAGAATTATTCTTTAAAAGTTTCATTCAAAAAGCACGATAATGTCAATTAACTTTCCGATAAATCGAGTTATAAAAAATTTTATCTCTATATCGTAGGTATTTGTAGAATTATGATACTTTAAAAGTGTATTTTAAAGGTGAAAATTATTGTCGAAGAATAAATTTCAAATTAAAAATGCAATATGTTGTCAATAAATACTCGTTTACGATATCGAATGTGTAATCATAAATAACAAAAGATTAATTACTTCGAAAGAATTGATATCAGGACCAATGTTAATTCAATATTTTTTTTTATTTTCTCTAAACAAATATTACAAGCTTTTCAAATATTGAACCCTAATTTTTCGTACTACCCTATATATCGTCGTTACGTAACAACTGTTTACAATTATTAATGACAAATATTATTATATTACGACAAGAGAGAAAACGATAATGATGTAACCAACGCAATGATAATCATTGTAACTAAAATCGAATAATTAATAATAATTATTTTCATAACATCATTTATTTACACCCACTATCGCAAACTTCATAATTTATTTCTATATTTACTTTACAACTTTTTCAGATTTACTTTTGAATCTTATGTTAAACGATAAAACTTCGAGAGAAAAAAAAGTGTCGAGGATGTCGTAGTAAAAAAAAAAAAAAAACAAGAATAGTCAAAAGAAAAAAAAGAATTTAGATTTTATTTATTCGTTATGTCTCGTCCGTACGAAATTTCAATTTAAACGTATAGAACGAACGGAAATAATATACGATTCGAAAGGAAACAACAATTTTCTCCAATAAACGGCGATCACGAAGCTTATTTTACATGAAACTAATTTGAAGCAATTAAACAAACAATAATAACAATAATAATAAAACGAAGTATTACGATCGTTCCTTTGATACGAGATATCATTTTCGTATATTATAGAATACCATGCATGATTCGTTATCCACGTATGTTATAATAAAATTATGAACGAAGTTGAGTAATGATAATATATATAGAAAATGAGAGTGAAATGTTAAAAAAAGAGAGAGAGAGAGAAAGAGGGAGAGAAAGAGAGAGAAAAAGGAAAAATAAATGAATAAGTATAAAAGAAAAGAAGAATAAGATGAAATACGGAAAAAGAAGAAGAAGAAGAATAAGAAGTTTTATGGTGAGACGAAAATATTTAATTATATGCGTGGAATTCTTAAGAGAACGATATTCTTACAATAATTTATTCGCATAACGTAAAGGGGAGAAAAAAAATATATTAACGAATACGAATAAATTGAATAAATAGACGAGATCAATAATAATTAGAACGAAAAATGTCACTTATTGAGAAGAACAATGTTTCATCTATCGGTGATTATTTGTCTTTGGAAGATAACGAATATATAGCATCGGTCGTTCCTTATTTATCTGGATATACAAATTTTATTTCGAATAATTTTAATGAAACGCCTACGACAATCATACAATCAAGTCGAAAGAATTTGCTCGAACATTTAATCGTACCACTATACGGTATTATCTTTTTTCTATCTATTGTTGGAAATTGTTTAGTGTTGATTACTTTGGCACGAAACAAACGAATGAGAACGGTGACCAACGTTTATCTATTAAATTTGGTGAGTAAGATGTTAATCTTTTATTTTTGTCATCAGTGTTATTAATTAATGTTTTAAATTAAGAATTTCTTTGTTAATGAATGTGTTTAATTAGAAATTTTTTGTCTATGCTACTTATTTCATTTTATTTTTACGATTTTAAATATTAAAATTGTTTAAATATTAATATTGCTATTTGTCAGCTTAAGCAGAGATATAGTAAATTAATAAAAAATTAACTCAAAATGTCTATCATTAATCTAATGATAAGAAAAAACTTTTTTCTCGTTTAGAATGTTTTTGAAATCGTTTATATGTTGTATATATACGGGAAATATTATAAAAGAGTTCAATGTATTGAAAATAAATAAAATTATATTTTCGCGATTTCCTGAACAATTAAAATTGTATTCTCCGTATTGTGATTTATCTCGATCGCATCGGGAATAACTTTTAAATTACGTTTACGTTGCATGTTTACACGCTAAATTTCACTATTTCATATATGCATTTCTAATTTTCGATCGCAATAGATATTTTGATAAACCTTTTATGTTCCCAATATTTTCTACCAATTTAATGTAATATATAGTGCAAACGATTGATATTTAATGAAGTTTTGTCATAAATATATTGTAACAAGGGTGAAAATTACGTTTAAAAAATACAAAGAGAAACGTCGAAAAATAATAAAGAAACATTTCATATCTTTTATATTATTTATCTTCATATTTTATGTTAAAAGTTGAATCAATAATAACGTTATCGAAGAAAGTTTAAGATATTTTTAAACTAACGTAATTCGTGGAAAAATTGTCGACCTTTCGAGAATGATTCTTGTTTATTATTGAAAGATTTAAAAAAAAAAATAAAATAAAATAAAATAAAAAAAAAATAAATGTAGTACAAAGTGATTAAATGAGACAACATGGGGAAAAGAGAAGTAAAAGGATAGTGAAAATGAGACATCTTCAATTGGTAAAAGTGCTTGTCAAGTTGACGTCAATATTTTTTCCTGGTAGACTGAAGACAGTCACGTAATAAATTGCAAAGACGTGCTCTGTACGCGAAACATGAGACAATTTTACGTTAGTTAATCTTAGTCGATCTTTCTCACAAGTATTATTCCGTGGGTGCAAAGTAATAAAGTAGCCGGTATTCCCTATTTTTCATCTCCCTCTTTTGTTTTTTTTCTACATGGTGATGATGGTGGTAGGGATATATAACGATGAAGAGAGAAAAAAAAAAGAACTTTCGTTTCTTGTAATTACATTCCACAAATACTTTTTTTTTTTTATCCACCTTTGGAATTTATCGAATATGATCTCATAACTGAATTACTTAACTGCGTGTAGAATAAAATAACATTAATTGTCGGGGATAAATTTGATTAGTTGTTCCCAAAGGGTTTTCGCATCTCACTATATTATTATGGGATTGGTTTTAAGTAAGATATATAGAAAGAATACGAATTCGGGAAGCAGAAATTATTGAAAAGTAAATAACGATATTTTTCAACGTTTATTACAAAATCTCATGGATTATAAAAACGTGCATATCAGACATTTTGTTACGGACGTTGCAACTTAAAAACAAATATTAGTCGAATAATAATATTTTTGAATTTTTTCAATAATATCATATTTAAACGCGTAGAATACACTCCTAGAGGATAATAATTTTGGTTACCTCGTTATCGTTGTTACTTTTTATACAAAATTAGAGAGGATCCTCTTTAAATTCAGTAAAAACGTATTTAGAATATTAGAATATTAGAATATGTATATATACGTGCATGTATTTTCTTTTCTTTGCTTTTTTTTTTTTGATAAACCCGAAAGTTCATTTCTTTTAAAATAAAGCGTGACTCGGAGACCGAATAGAAAATATTGAAAGGACAGGGGAAGAAAAAAGTTTAAAAATAACGTCAGCTGGGACAAGTATTTCGTCCGAATAGTATACTGTCGGGATAATACTTTTGGTCCTCGATCTAGGGTGGCTTACGTGAGCTATGTCTAACTCTCATAAAATTCTGAATTGTCACCTCTATTTTCTCGAAATACGTCATTTTTATTTTTTTTACTACGGAGCTCGGATTCCATAAAAAAAAAAGAAAAAGAATACTTTTACGATCTTTATTTTTATTTTCTTACGAAAAGAACCAGATTATTTTCTATGCTTGTCATCTCAACTTTCTTCGCGTAATAAAAAATTTATATATATGTATGTATATATACATATTAAAATACAGATTTGTCGTATCTTCTTTTTATATCTTGCATCTTAAAATATTTTTATTTTAAACTGATGCAATTTTAAAGATGACAGGATTTGCTATATCTTATATATAATACACATATCGTATTATTTATTTATTATTAATTATTAATTAATTAAATTGAATTATAATAAAGATGAGAGAGAAACACGTATAACCGACATAAATTATGTAACCGTCCATTTTATTTCTCATATCTATATATCTTTTCTTACATATAAATCTTCTATCTTTTATTTTCTCTCATAAATTTGTTCAGAATATTAGATTCCGAAAGATCGGATTGTTCCCAGTAGGATTTTCTTGTTTACAGTTATCTGAAGGGTCTCTTTGGGAAATCTTTCTAACACAAACCTTTTCTTTCTTCGAATGAACTTTTGCTGTAGCTTGTTTTATTTACGAGAGAGCGTGTGTGTAAGAGAGAGAGAGAGAGAGAGAGAGAAAGAGAAAAAAAGGGCGGTATAGTAGGAAAAAAAAAGCAAATAGAAAGAAATCGTCGAAGTCAGCCAATTATTGACGAGAAATTCAGAACGAAAGTTTTCTTTTTCTTTATTTAAAACGATCAAATGTATACTACTGTTGAAAGGACGTATTCAAATAAGCGAATAATTATATCAGACAACTTGAACAAAAAAAAAAAAGTATGAAAGCATTATATTCGAGTAACGATAAACGAACAGACGAAAAAGTTCTTTTTCGCATACTGAAGAAGCATTTTTAAGTAGATCCATCTTTTATATCGCTATACATTTTCTAATTCTTTAAGATCAATCATTTCAAAATGTTTATAATATTATTTATATTAACAATTGTGGATACGATGAGATGAAAAATTTAAATTACCATTGGTAAATACCATTACAACTCGTGTAATTGAAGTTGTTATTCGTGTAATAACTTCAAATTTGCGAAAAATCTCTATAAATATTTGAAACGTATTTTATTTATTTGTAGTCAATCCTTTAATAAAAAGAAAAAAGAAAAAAAGAAAAAGAAAAATTGTGTTCAAAATAAATTTGTAAGAATTTTATCTTAATCGTCTTGAGAATACTTGAGATGTATTTAACAAGGATGCTGAAAATGGAATGAAAACTTTGAAATTAGAGTGATTACTTCTGATTCAAATTAGAATGAGATTCAAAGAGGAAAATCTTAAAAACGACTAGAAATCGAAATCGAAAATCTTATCGAAAGAAGTATACTTTCATATTTTTATATTTACTTCGAAATGTAATTTTCTAAAGTAAAAGAAAAAGCATCGAGAGATTGAAAATCTCAATAATGTAGTTGTTAAAAAGAAAGTTTTTCTTTTTTTAATAGAAATTGATATCCCCCCGCCCCCTTCAAAATTTCATCTAACGATAGAGTAAACATTTACTTGAAATAACGTTAATAATAAATAACCGAAAAATTATTTTCAAGATCTCTTTTTTGAATTAAAAGGAAAGAAAAAAAAAAGAACACTTTCAAATAACTCATATCATATTTTTTTATGCCCTGCAAATGAGCTCCAAACTTAGAAATTTTTTTCTTCTTTTTTTTTTTTTATTTTTTGAAAGAAAAAAAGTACTTTTATTAAATAGTCTCCCTAGTTAACTCTTTTCCGTAAGAAAAACATGTTCATGATTAAAATTTTCCAATAAAAAAAGAAAAGAATTACTCCGAAAGAATTCACATTTAATTTTGCTTAACAACCCTTTCCCCTCTCCCCTTAAAAATGCTCCGAGTTATTTTAGGAATGATTTATGCACGAAGTTTGATTGTCAACAAGACTTTTTGAGTAAAATTAAACTTAAGAAATAATAGTTGTAAATAAATGTTTCATATTTTCGTAATACATTTAGGAATCATTTGGAAGATATTCATAAGTAAAGTTTGAAAAGTTAAGTTAAATTTTCTACGAGTCCACTTAACAATTTGAAATTTCTTACATACTTTTAGTAAGACGTTTACGAACTGTGAATTACGCTAACAAATATTCAAAGACGTTAATAGTCCTGATATTTTCAAATTCCATTAATTTACTCTATAATGAATTTTTGTTATTATTATCATTGTTATTATATAAGTATTACTTTTATAAATTATACTCTGTTCATAAAGAAAATGATAATTATTAAAGGATAAATAATTATCGGAAAAATTACATTTCAGGCTGTGTCAGATTTGTTGCTCGGCGTATTCTGCATGCCATTTACTTTATTGGGACAAATGTTAAAGAATTTTGTCTTTGGCTTAACAATCTGCAAATTGATATCATATTTCCAAGGTAAGACGAATTTCATTAATGTTTGTTGAATTATTTTCTATGAATGTATTGTTACGTATGCATATTTAACGAAACAAACACAAGAAACGTATTTTATTAACCATTGTAATCGAATAAATATTCTTTCGAATTAATTTTTCAACAAAAAATCGTTGAAATTATATTTTCAATTAATGAATAAAAATGAACAAATTTTGCCAACTAACATAATACGATGCGAAATATATACATATATATTTTTTATTTATTTATTAATAATAAACACCTCGGGGAAAAGGTTTGGAAAATAAAAAGAGTCTGATAATATTTGTATATTTGATGATAACAAAATGAAAAGAAAAGCTTTAATTATAATGACACACACAGACACACACATACTTATTTAACATTTTAACGCGCGAACAAATATATTATACAAGTGACAAATACAATCTTACGCCTTTGACGTCGTTTAATTTCGATTGTCTCGCGTGAAAAAAAAATGAAAGAATAATAATAATAATTGTTCGATTAAGCGAATTCAAACAATTTGTCTATTTGCTTTGACAAAAGTATTCTTTTTTTTTTTTATTCCTTTTGTTCATTTTCCTTTTGTTTTACGAAGAACAATTTTTCCTTCTCTTTGTCAATACGGCAAAACTTTCATCTAACAATAACATAGACTTATTTTTTTCCTCACCGTGTTTCTCTTTATCCTTGCATTTTCTATCGCTTTTGTAAACTTATTTCATGAAATGTTTCTCCTAATGTCATTTAAGTTTATTTTTGTTCTCTTCAGTGCACCTGCTCTGTTTATATTTCTTTTCTACATTATTCTGTTGATACATTTGTTGGAATGAGATTGTAAGAGAAATATGAAAGTTTCTAACGCTTGATAAATGTGTGTGTGTGTATGTGCGAAATTCATTAGTTTATGAGGTATAATATATTAAAAGTCTGAACAAGTTGGAACGAAAAAGAACAAAGAGTCGAAAATCGTGAGTGTGTTTGTCTTATTTGAAGATAACAGTCTGATAAGGAGACTGTACATTTTATTACTTTCTCTAGATTTTTTTTTACTTAAATATAATAAAAAATAATATCTTATTAACATATTAATAATATCTTACGTATTTTCTTTTTTACTTTTTCATCTGAAAGAATATATATTTGAGATAAATATAATATATCAATTTATTTTGTTTTTCTTCTAATTAACAGAAAGAGCTGAATAAATATCTTCTCGTTCTCTCTCTTTTTCTCTTTTGTTTTGTTTTTTTTTAAATTTCTTTTTTTTTCACTTCTCTGATAATAATTATTACTAACAAACAAACAAAAATATGCTCAAACAAAAGGCTTGTTAAGTACACGCATATTATTATAAAATAGTTTTTTTTCTAACTATATGTTACAGTTGTCTCAGTTTCCGTTGGGGTTTGGACACTGGTTGCTATTTCCTTAGAACGATATTTTGCTATTTGTCGACCATTAAAGTCACGTCGTTGGCAAACCCAATTTCATGCTTATAAAATGATCGTCGTTGTTTGGGTTTTATGTCTTACATGGAACGTACCGATACTTATTGTTTCACAAATTCAAAATATTACCGGAGGTAAATATCATTTTTATATAGAAAAAGATTGTTAACATATATAAATCCATAAATTATTGATATGTCATACATTGTAACAATTGTTAACACAATAAATAAATAAATATTTAATTGTCCCCAAAATTATGATTGTCGGAACAAATTTGTTTAATAAACATTACATTTTATTAAATGGAATCATCGAACGATGCGTAATCATTGTTTTTTCTTTCTCGTTTCAGGAAGAAGAAAATGCAGAGAAGTATGGGCGAGCATTGGAACAGAACGCGTATACAATTTATTTTCAGACGGAACGTTACTTCTTTTACCTCTAATCCTTATGACCATGGCATATTCTTTAATCGCTATTAAACTTTGGCGAGGACTTAAGAGAGAGATGACACAAAATTTTAAATGCCAACGCAAACGTGAGTAATAATGAAGAATAAATGTATGTACGTACTACTTTATCGTAAAAACAAAAAATTAGATCATTAAATAATTATTATTTAATTACTTTATAAATATTTCTCTTACGTTTGTTTCATCGTGATATTTGACTATTTTATCATAAAACTATTATATTATACACACACGCACATATACATAACAAATAATTTGATCTCTCATTTGTACTTTAATCTCATGAGCTTTAATCAAATTTCATTGCGAATAGGTGGGTTATCATTAATTGAAAAGGTAATTAACTATATATTATAAAGTGAGATGATGGCAAAATTATCTCTTATTATTTAACATCATATATTTTGTAGGTAATTATATATTTATATCTAACATATTTATATTTATTTATTTGTTCGTTGTTCGTTGTGGCAAACTTGTTGAATTCACAAGCTTAAAAGCTGTATTTACCGTTACTGTATATGTTATAGACTGCTATCTATCTATTAGTTTCTAAGTGATTTACGAGTTCGAAAAGGGTAGTTTTAAATGCTGATTACATTTTTAAAGGAAACTTCTTAATTTATTATCCTATGGTGTTTATAGAAAATTATCCGATTTATCAACGTCTATTCGTCCATTTTATTTTGTATTATTTATTTCTCGTAATGCGAAAGGAAAACTTTCATTTTTCAATCACCATTATCAACGTTAAAATAAAATAATTTCAATCAGAGTTGGTATTATTTTTTAATTTGATCGTATTTATCAAAATTTACGATCATCAATCAAAACCGATAACAATATTCTCACATAATTGATAAAATGAACGATAAGGGATCTTTATATAATATATTGGAGTTATTTCAATCAGAAAAATGATACTAAAAATATAAATAAGACGTGAATTCCAGTAAAGAAAAGTGGAGCCACATCGTCATCTACTGCGAATAGTTCAACTATGAAAAATAGGAAACATGAATCTAATGTTACGATAGTTGTCAAGGCGTGTAATTCAACGAGGGTGAGTATGAAATTACAAAAATCATGTTTTTCTTTTTTTTCTAATTGTTAAACAACAAGTCGAAATATCAATAATTTTTGTTATTATAAATGAAACGTATTGATAAATTTGCATGATTCATTATTAGTATTATAATGTGAATATAATATTTTATTATATAAAATTATATAAATTACATATTGCACAACTATGACAAAATAATACGAGACACTTCATAACGATTTCTGTCGTTTTGTTGGTTGATCGAAAAGTTACGTTCATAAATATTTTGTTCATTTCCTTTCCTTTATATATTTTTGATAATTGTTCTTTTGATTTGATAAACAAGGTACGTGTACCGCAACAAACAAGAATGGATACCATGATGCTAGGTGTTACAAACTGTGAAGAATCAACCGAATCAAAGACAGAAAGCGTTTCTCAACTTGGAACCAACAGAAATTGTCTTTCATCGAATAGAAATTCGAACAAATCGAAGAACGAGAATTCCAAAAATTCCAATTCTTCTTGCCCGCTAGGTAGACAGCACGTTGTACGAACTAATCAAATTAACAAAAGCATCGAATCGAAGAAAAAGGTAAAAATAAAATTGACAAATTATTAAACCTTGATTATTATTATTATTATTATTATTTTTTTTTTTTTGTTTAATGTTCAAAAGGAAATCTGATAATTAATTTCTCGTTAAAGAGGATAATTATTTATAACAAGATAAAAAGTTACTTTTGTTTATCTTAACACAAATGTATACAAATTTAATGTTTTTGTTCAAAAAATGATATTTATATATTCGATCATGATTTTTATGATTCATATACGATCTCGTATTGAATTTGCAATACGATACGATAAATAACTAAATTTAATGATATTGTGTGTAATACAATCGAACGAGGATAAAAAAAGAAGATTTTTGAAAATTTTTGTATAATTCGTTTGCAGGTGATTAGAATGCTATTTGTTATAGTTTTGGAATTTTTCGTTTGCTGGGCACCTTTGCACGTAGTCAATACGTGGTACCTATTCACTCCAGAATTAGTTTACTCCATGGTTGGGAGTACTGGAATCAGTTTGATACAATTGTTAGCGTATATTTCAAGTTGCTGCAATCCAATTACGTATTGCTTTATGAACAAAAAATTTCGTCAAGCATTTTTTGGCGTCTTTCATTGTCATCGTTGCTGGAGGTAATAATAATAATATAATAATGTAAATTAATATATTTATCAAATAATATCTATTAAATAACGTACGTAATATTAAATAACATTTTTAATTGGTTTTATCGGGTAAACTCTCATCCCCCCTATTTAAAGATTCGAAATTAAAAGAAAAATTTTCATTGAACATATTATTTCTCTTGCGTGTAATTAACGAGAAAAGTAAAAAAGAAAAACAAAAATTATTGAATTGTTGTAATATTCATTTAACCATCGAGTTATTTTAGAATTTATTTTTAGATTCGACACAATAAGATTATTCGTTTCCATATTATGAACATGGAATGAAGATTTGGATAAATTATAAAATACAATTACCTTTGGTTTTTCTTTTTTTTTTTGAGCTTCAACCATTCCCATTAACGATAAAAAAGATATTTTATCGCTCGGTATCACAATGTGTTAGTGGATTTTTATTTTTGTTTTCTTTTATTGTTCGTTTTTTAAAAACGTTTTATAACTATATTTTATTATTAAAATTATATTATTATATAATATTTAAAATATTAATATTAATTATTAATATCAAAAAAATCGTTTCGAACGGATATTTTACCATTGTAAAACTCATTTGCATTTATATGATTTTAAAATACAATATTAAAATAACAGTATTAAAACGAGGTCTCTCTAGTTTGCATTTTTTTACGATTTCGTAATAGGGGTATTTTCTTGTTTTAATAGAAATATTGTTAATATTCATTCTACGAGAAAGTCATCCGTATAATAATACAGTTCCCCATAGCTATCGGAAAAAAGGGTTTTAGTATTATACAAAGAGAAGAGAAAATAAAAAAACTATATTCGATGTGTGTATGTGTAATATATAAAATATAATATATATATATAAATACAAAAGTTCAAAAAAGTTGATTATTTAAAATTGAAACAGAATAATTTATATCTATGATTATTTATTTTTAAAATATTATAAATACGATCTTTTATTAAATTATTAATTTGAGATAGATTTTCCTGTATAGGGATTAGATATTGTTCATTTCAGAATAAAATGGAGAAACAGTGATGTTCCCATGTCTACAGGAGGCAAAACCAGAAAAATTGGCAACAATAATGAATTTAGTGGCAACGAGTCGACCATGTGTCTAAGGAAAACTTCTTTTTTAGCAAAAACCGGTACGTTTAATTCGTTTTAATTCGTAATTGTAACATTAAAATTTATCTGTTTGAAAGAAAAATAAATTTAACGAATGAAAACAAAATCTTACAATATTATAACCGTATTTTTCGTAATACTTCTAATTTTTTAATATTTAAATATATGCATTATACATTTTTTTTACCACATTGAAATATTAATAATTATTTAAAGTTCAGTTATCCAGCAACAACATGAAAGGACTGTTTATGGGTTCTTCCAATGATTAAATATTTAAATAACTTTTCTATTTTATTCAATTTATATGTAAGACAAATCTTCTAATGGTTGCAATAAATCTACTTTCTTCAATTTTCATGCTTAAACTAGAGATAACGAGAGTGAATTAGATGCTGAACTAAGGAATAGGAGAAAAATCAATAGAATAGAATAGAAAATGATTTCTGATTGATGTCTATGCTTTCTTTTCTTTTCTTTTCAAGATTGTTCTTTTTTTCGTTTTAAAAATCATCAATTACCATGAATACATCATAGACACGTACATTTTCAGAAGTAGTTCAGCTTTTAGAAGAAAAAGATCGGGCCTAACATCAAGCGATCAAATAACAGGGCAAAGAAAGAATGAGATGTTTTCAAACGGGTACCAACTAAAACAAAGAATTTTTTTCGAAAATAGGAGACAACGTTGAAAGGAAATACTCGTAGAACGAATAAAAACAAACCGTTGAATTTCGTGCTACGAAATGTTTTGCTGAGCATGGTCATTCTGTACGAACAATCTCCGATTTTTTTGACTGAAAACTTTGATATCAGCAAATAATTGAGAACATACTTTTCGTAGAGTATTAAAAGGTTCACACCTTTCTTCACAAAGAAAATAATATAATATAAATAAAAAAATAATAATAAAATATGTGTTTGTCACGTGGGTAGTAATAATATTGTATATCGTATTTTAAATATTTTCTTTTTTGTCGATTTTACGATTAACAAATTTTGCATCAATTTTGTATTAGAATTTAGAACATTAAACACGAAAGAGAAATTACGATATTTTAAGTTATTATAATTTAATTACTCTAACTTGATAGTAAATTTGTCATTCAACATATTATGTCACCTTAATATAATTATAAACATTTATTTTATTCTAATAAAATCTTTAAAGTATCACACAATTGTACTTGATAATAAAATGATTGCACACCTAAAAACCTCTTTTTTTTTCTTTGCTATCACTCAAATAAGTTAGTTTATAAGAGTATTTAATTGTGTAAGTATGGAAATAGAAGGATAGTAATTGAATTTGGAACTTTTCATCTTAAAAACTTTTAACGTGACCCTGTGTATAATAATGTGCGAGTAACCTTATAGCTCTCCTCGTTTAAATTTATGCTGAAGTATCCCGTTCGAACAAACATAAATGATAAGCTTCGAGTAAATATGAGCTTATGATAGATATTAGAGACGGGTAAACAAAGACTAATGCATTTTGCAAGTGAATTTGATCCTTCCCGTAGAACAAATAGATAAGATACTTATTGTAAGTAAATGAGACGATCTTACGTAGAATTAAATTAATGAACAACGAACTTATACGTATTTGATAATCATCAATCGATAGAATGAATTTTCTATGTAAAATTGTCCCTTTAATTGTACTTTAATTTTAAATTTATTTTTTTGTTATCTCTGTAATTATGATATGGTTTGATGTAATCATTGATGAAAAAGAGAATAAATAAGTATGCAAAATATATGTAAAATTCATATTTTCCCTTTGTCTGTCTGTCTGTCTGTTTCTAATAGATTATAGTTGGAGTCAAATTTTCTCCATCAAAACGATTCTATTAATCATTCTGCCAATTGAAATTCGAAATCGTAAATCACTGTCAAATGCAGAAATACTCGAATCGCTATGTATATATATATAATAAATGAGTAGAATACGTTTATCAATCCTATCCTTTAATAATCAATTCGCATAATTCACATAAATTTAGTTTATGCGATAGAAAGGAAAAAAACATTTCTTTTTGAAGCTTTAATTTTATGCAATTTTTGTTTAAACACGCTTTTCGATCCTTATTTTATTTCTCTATTTTCTATTCTCGAATGCAAATCATTGCGAAATTAAAATGTATACGTTTAATGAAAAAAACGAAAATAAGAATTGAGAAAACAAATAAATTTTGTTGACACAATACAACAACTAACAGATATACAAAAAAAAAACAGAGATAATCATAAGAAAATTTTTAATGTCAAATCAAATCAAATTTCGTCAGAAGAAAATGTAATATGTGACTCTTCCTGAAGAGATAATTAGACTTTTTTTCATGAAAAAAATATAATAATATAGCTCGAGAAAGTTATTACTTGCAATTGAAATTTTTCATCAACATACGATTATAAGCACGAGTACTTCGTTTTATGAATGTTTATCTTATATTAGCAGGATGACGTATATAAAAAAAAATAAATACCACAATTTAATATTTCTATGAAATTTAATAAGTTTTCGATTATACAATGTCGAAAATATCTGTAGATTTATTAATTCTGCAATGTAAACATTATACAGAATATGTTTTAAATTTTAATCAATAAGAAATTATTTCGAGAAAAAACCGACCGCGGCAGCACGTAAAGAGTAAAATTTACGAATTTGATATTATTGACGTAGGAACCAACAAAATCAAACGAGTTTAACTTACTGAATTTTATATAATAAATAATGTTATTTGCGTACAAATGATAAGATCTCGTTTTACTAAAAGTAACGAATCAATATATTATTTGAAATATTTTTTAAATGAAAATCAAAGTAATGATAAAATACAAATTTTCTATGTCTTAAAACAAACACAAATATCATATTACAAATTTTTCTTTTTTTAAATGACATTTGTCTTTTAAAAATTCACATACTTTCTAATAATTATCGAAATAGGAGTAAGTACAACTGGTTGCATGGAGACAGGAGTTAAAGATTCTTCTTCTAAAAAACCTGTCGATAAAACAGAAGTAGATAAGATAGAAATCTGTTGATCCTGATTCAAAAAGACAAATATTATTATTATTTAACAACTCTCTCTCTCTCTAAACACATAATTTTATTTAAAAAATATTTAAATCGAGATATTTCGATGATAAATGCAGATAATATTCAATTCGATTATATTTTTATTAACTTTCGTTCTTACATTAAATCACCAACGCCTGCACTATTGCAACCTTACTTACACGATTGCAATAGTGTTGGAGTATAACGATACGCAAGAAAACACGATCTTGATTGTAAAAAGAAAAATAAAAAAGAAAAAATACCAAACGAGAATGATTTATTCCAATAAAAAAAAAATCTAATAAAAGTAATATGGAAAAAGAAAAATAGAAAAAAAAGGCAAGAAAACGATACAATAAGCCAGCTAATAAAAATGCAAAACTTAGAGATTAGAAAATCATCGAACCTATTTTAAAATAGTCAACGAATGAGACGTAGGTTTAATCAACCGACGTTAGGGTTGAGTAACAGCACCTATAATTATTATTTTTTAAAATAAGATCCGATAGCTATGAAGTAGTGTTCTGTTTCCATAAAAATCAAGTACGACGGTTAATAAAGGGAAAGAAAGGGAAGGGAAGGTGTGGTGTTGTTCGTTATTGCAGTTCGTTAAGAATGAAAACGAATTTGAATGGAAAATAAGGGCAAAAGATTTGGTGTAACGGACGAGAAAGAGAAGAAGGAATAATGAAAGACGACGAAGACGACGACGACGATGATGATGATGATGATGATGATGATGATGATGACGAAAGGAAGGAAGGAAGGAAGAAAAAGAAGTGTTTCGATGCGAAAGAGTTGCCGTGCGAATAACTCGTTACCAGAAATATATCGTCGTCTTTTAAGGGGAGCAAGAGTTGGCTCGAGCCAACCAACCCATAATTACCGGCGCCGATGGTTAAAAAAAAAAAACGAAAGAATAAAAAAAAAGAAAGCTGAGGGTCGGGGCCCGAAGCAAGCCACCTTTTAAAAAGGTGTTAAAGCGTGCCGCGGGCGTGGGTAGGTGTTAATTTAAAACAAACCTAAGGATAGTAAACCGATACCAAATCCAAAATATCAAGCAAGCACCGAGTACCACAATCATTTTGCTTTCCCCCTCTGAGGAGGAGAGAGAGAGAGAGAGTGAGAACATCCGTTCTATTTCTCTTCCAATGGAATTTGATTGGATTTCGAAGTAAATGCAAGAGTAAAAAAATAAAAAATCGTTATTGTTATTTAAGTATTCATATTTTAATTTTGTTTTCATTCAAATGTCGTTTATGAAATATTTTCACGCGATCCCACCAATGAACAAAGTTTTATTTATAATACTTTATTTTATGTTTAAATCCATTAACACAAAATTTACAAAAAAGAGGTCAATGTAAAAAAAAAAAATAATGATAGTTGCAGAGCAATTTTTTTAGAGAATACAGAATAATTTTTTCTATTACGTATTTATTATAGATTGTAATAGGATTTTTATTTTGTACGTATAAACGATTTTAAATTGTAAAACTTTTGTCTGATACCTGAATATTATAACGAATGGAATAAGATTATCATGAGAAAGGATTCCGTTTCTTTTCTAATACCTCCACCCCATCGAAGATTAGAATCCGTTGTTTATAATACACAGGATTAGTGCATGATCAGGATCGATCGTGTTAACAAGACAGACTTAGAACCTTCGAAACTTTCAAATTTTCTTATCGATCTAAGGAAGATGGCGAGAGACAAAGACAAAGACAAAGAAAGAAAAAAAAGTAAATGCAAAAATGGGAGAAAGGGTCTTGGTTTTCCAAATTGAAAACACCTTCGTTATCACTTAGGGCAATCTCACAGGGATATATGGGGTTTGCCGGGCACTAATCGCCAGTTAGTCGCGCCAAATGTTGTTTCGATCTACGATACATAATCAAATGATTAGCATTAGAAGGGTGAATCTTTCTAACGCAAATTCTACATTCTTAGAGTATTTTTTTTTCTTATGTACTTTATCCGTTTAAATAAAATACTAGGGTGCATATTATTTCTATTCGAGACGTATACCTTCATAAAAAATAAAAACCCATTCTTATTTATTTAATGTGTTAAAGAATTTTCGAGTAAAATATTTGATTCTTCTTAAATTATTTATCTCTCTCATGCAGGATAAATATATAATATTAATTATATTATAATATTATATAATATTGTTATATATTATGTCGTATTTTTGGAAACACAATAGTTATTAAATTGTCATGCATTTAAAAGTTCGTGTTAAGAAAAAAATTTGTGATATAAATATAATTCGATTATTTTTTAATAAGAGAATATAGTTTTAATTTTGAATACTTGGGGATATGTCAGAAGAAAGAAATAAATAAAGAAAAAAGATGAACACTTGCGTTCAGAAGGTAAGATCATATTTTACTGGCGGGGGCGTGAAACGGATAATTTTGTAAGAAACTCGCGCGAACGATATCCGATCGTATATCAGAGCTACGAAATAACTGGGTCTCCTTAAAAATTATCGGAAACGAGGGCCAAACTAATGGGGCACGTCGGGCCATCTGGCTCCTGCGGGGCTGTAGCTGATTCACGCCAATTCGATACCGAACCGTTTTCACGCCTTATAAACGTTTGAAAATTGGCCCTAGTAACGTTAGGATGTGTCTCGACTAAAGTTTCTAACACTATTACCGTCTATTGTTAAGTAATACTTTGATTTACTTCTTTAAAAATTTTAAGAAAAGAGTTTATTTATGATCTTTATTATTACCAAGAGAAAATGATTCCAAGATTTGGCAAACTAAAAAATCGAAATTATACATAACAAAAAATATAATATATTTCTCTCGTTTTTATTTTTTTTTAAGCACAGGGAAGATATCGTTTCGAAATTATTATGATATTAAATTACGATTTATCTGACGAAATAAATTATATTAATCGTAGTAATATTAATATTAATAATAATAATAATAATATTAATTGAACGTACACATACATAAGAAACTATATTTATTTTAACATTGTATATGATTAATAACTGGAGTCACTTAAACGTTTTAACATAATTCTTTAATTTACGAATCAAATTTACTTCTTATTCAAAATTCACTTACAATTTCAGCAATTGCAAAATAAAAAGGAGGGAAATAAAAGAGGCGGGGGGAGGGAAATATATATATTATAAAAAATAAAAAGAAAGTATATTATTCATATCGAATAATCTCCATCGGAATAGGGATATTATTATTTCCTAGGAGCCTCCTGCAACCATGAATTATTGATGAGGTAGCCCAAGTCGTCTTGGTAAATCGTTCGAAAGGACTCTAAAGGACTTGTAAAGTTTCCACGTAGAAAGAAAGAAAGAAAGAAGCAGTGTTAACGACCAAGTTTTAAAATAGTTCGATTGAGAGAGACAGAGATAAAGAGAAAGGAGACGAAAGCGTAGTTGATGTATATTTTTTTATCTTTTTTTTTTTTGTTTCCCCCATTTTATTTACTTCTACCCCCTACTTTTCTCTTCTATCTTGTTTTTTACTCATTCTTTTTTTTATAAAAGATCAACAAGAAGAGAAAAGAAATAAGAAGAAGAAGAAGAAGAAGAAGAAGGAGAAAACGAAGTAGTCGTTGATCGTACAAACGACCGATTGTATTTAGATGGTTGGTTCGAAACTTTCGAGGCCACAATCCAGGAGAGACCTTTCGAAATCCTTGAATGGGGAAAAACGGATACTTCAATCCTTTATTTAAAATAAATTTTATTCTTTATCTTATACTTATATTGTGTGTTTGTTATTTTTTTTTTTTCTTTTTTTTTCTTTTTTTCTTTTTCTTTTTTTTTTTTTCTTCAGTCGCACCAAAGGCGATTAGTAGTTATGTATTGCCATGGTGTATTTTCGCATACAGTACCAGATATTGCTTCCCTGACTGGTACGGTTAATATTCTAAAGTTAACGTCGGTATAATTCAACGACGAAAGTAAAAATACTGGCATCTTATCCGATATCATCCAAATCGTACCACGATTTACCTAAAAATTGATTGATATATTTGTTTTTTTTTTTTTTTTGCGTTATTTCGATTTCAAATATTTCGTATTTTTTTCGTTGAGTTTTTAAATCTTTTACCTTAACATCAGCTGGGAATATTAAAGCCTCGTCGTGTTTTGCCACTATCGCGTGATTAGCGGGTGTATATGGTAACTGAGAGTTCCAACATCCTACTGCATTTTGATCTACCAAATTAAAGAATAGCAAACCATTCTCGTCCATTACCGATGAGGTACAATGCGAGTTTGGTCCTCTTTCTTCCAATGCCTGTAAAAAGAAATAATATTAATATTAATATTAATGAATAATAAAATAATAAAGATTTTGTGGATTATAGTATTAATAATTGTAAGTATGATTAAATTTTGAGAATCATTGAAATTCATTTTAAATAAAATTCAAACATAAATACTTTTAATCGTAATCACAAAATTGTTTTTCTTTTACGAATTAGTGAACTATTTTAAATTGTTTATATATATATGATAATCTCTTGATCTATATACTTGCCCCCATTACGTGTGATGTAATTTCGTTTACGTTTCATAAGCGTGGAAACAAAAATTGTAATAACGAAAACCGGTTTAAAAGTCATTCGCGATAACGCGAAAGAAGAATAAACTAAAAAGAAGAAAGATAGAAAGTAAGAGAAATCGTTGTTTCATTCACCTGGAATTCGTGATAGCTGTCCTTAGCAAGTTCCTCGTTTCTCAGGACTTTAGTTGAAACGGCAAATTCTCTGTTACTACTTAACGGATGGAAAAATAATGTTCTATAACCGTCCAATGCAATTGGCGAAAGACTCATACCGAAAATACCCTCCTCACCCCATTGAAAATTAAGACCACCTATATTGTAATCGCCAGCAAGTGGATCGGGCATGAAATAACTATGAGTTAATCTCCACGATTTGTTTTGTCCCCAAGAATAAACTATCAATCCGTAACCAAGTTCATCCGACATGTAGGCAAATGCATCATCGCAACCACCCTTTCCAAGATCAACGGCTATGTTCGCAATGAAAGTATTCTGTAAGGAAAAAGAAATGTTTGGAAAATTAATATCAATATATACTACACAATATTAATCGAAAATATATTTATAAATTTGTATTAAACATTTTGGACAATTCCTCAATAACTCGGATCGATTGATCTGTGCATTGAAAATAAAAATTTAATTCATTTCTGTTAGTGAATCTATAAACGAATCTATAAAACGAAAGAGTTGTTGCAAATATTTCAACAAATTTTTAATTATTTATTAAAATTTATTTTTTTAAAGTACGTTGTTATTTTTTTTCTCATTTGGATTGAATAATATAATCGTTTATTAAAAAAAATGGGATAAATAAATTATCGTCGTATATAAGTGTTCGTTATACCTGATTAATATCCTCCGGTCGTAATCTGTATTGTCTCAAAATTTTATCTGTTGTCAAGTCAAAAATGTTTAACGTGTAGGGACATGCTTGTACTGTTGTATCTCCAATTCCAATAGTACCAGTATCCAAAACCCATAATCTATCGCAAACGTCCGCGTGTATTCTATAAATAATTATATTTATATTAATTAAAACATTAAGTAATATTCTTAAAGCTTTATTTGTTCTCATAGATTAATTACCTATATGCAGTAGTTAACCCAGATCCACAAGCACCAGCTTTATTTTGAGCCCAATTTGGATATGGAATAAGTTTAGGTGAACCACCAATATGTTTCTCCAACGGTATGTAATTCAATGTCGCTGGTATACCTTCAAAGATATTTATAGTATACGAATTTTGTTAAAAAAAAAAAAAATGTATTTGATATATTATATTAATTATACGTACAATCGATATTATAATTAATAATGTTAATGTTTCGTTAAAAAAACTTTTTTTTTTATTTATACGAGATATTTTGATTAGAAATTTAAAATATAAAAACCATAATAATTATTATCAAAAGCTTATTTGTTATTCATACTTTTGTAATTTTCGCTATATCTACATGCAATTTGCTAATCCTGTTGATCTTTTATTTTCCGATAAATTATACAAAATACTCGTTATACTAATAAAATATTATTCGACATGAAAATGAAAGATTGCATTTATAAAAACGTGCACGAATTCCACAACATTTTTCAAACGAAAATTCGAATACGAATAAACGAATACATTATCGGCTTATTCATAATTTATATAAAAAAAAGAAAAAGACAGAAATATGTGCAAATGAATTTATTAAAATTCAAGTGTTGCAGAATTTATAACTCTAATATTATCATATTTCTTCTTTGCCTCCTTTTTCCTATTTACGACTATCTGCCATATATATTTTTTTTTTCTCTCGCGTCATTAGAAAGTTGAAATTTCGTTAATGTTCTTATACCCATATTTTATTCTGTCATATCGTATAACTTCTTACTGCAACATAAGTTCAAACCGTATGTATTAATTTCATATTTCCTTTTCCAAATTTTACTCTCGAAAATTAATTGTTTAATTAATGAAGCGTAATAAAAGAATAATAAAACAAATTGCTTTCTGTTTTTTCTCCTTTGTCGTTCACGAATAAAAGTAATTTTTAATCGAAATCGAATTTGAACATCTCTCGTTGAGATTATTACAACCCGATAATTGACTTAATTTAAAGGATTTCGTTTAACGCGTATAATTTTCGTATCTGATCGAAATATATTTAATAACCATGCCATATTGCTCGAGTATTCGAGCGTGTGTTCACTAAATGAGATAATCGAAATTAATCCTTTGCCTTATGAACACGAACTGAATTATGATTCGTAAAGTAAGCTTTTATTGACAAAAAAAAAAGGGGAAAAAAAATAAATCAAACCGATTCATGCTTCCTTACGAGTGGTAATAATTAACAATAATTTATTAATAAACGTTAAATATATCATACTTGATTGGAAAACATTTATTAGAAGTTATCGTTATTTCAATAATTCATAAGCGTAACGAATTGAATTATTTAAATTATTGCTCGTGTGAAATGCGAAAGATATATTTTAACATATATAATTTACATTTGTTATTTAAATGAAATATTATATTAAAATATACATTTTAAATTGTGAGATCTACATAGTATTTGAAAAATGATCTTTTTAACAAATTTTATAATTCAATAATAGTCTTCTTTCAGCTTATCAAAAGATAATATAATAATTTTCAAAAAATTGATACCTAATTCAATTCGTGCAGTAAGTTAAGTACACAATGTTAATTTAATATAATAAGTATACTCGGTATTTTCTATAGGATAGTATACTCTATAATTTAATTAGTATACTCGTCATCCAATTGTTCTAACGATACAATTTAAAACTTATATTTCTACCAAAATCTTTAACGAAAAATCGCATATTCCGATTCGAACAAATCCTTGGCACGAGGGATTATTTTGTCGCGGATGAGTTCATCGAACACGAAAAATATTAAAAGAACGTTCCGACGAAGTCTCTTTCCATTTCTATTCTTTCTTTTTATATTTTTTTTCCCCCCACTCTCGTTTCCTTTTTCCTTTCTTCTTTTCTTCCCCTAACCCCGTATCGGTGCTCTCTCTCTCTCTCTCTCTCTCTTAGTAAGTTCGGAGCCCACGGTGAATCTGAAGTTACGCGAAAGAATGGGACAAACACCAAAGGGCGCATAAAAACCTGCCCTAAAAACAATGGCGGTCACAGGCAGGCAGCCAGCCAGCCAGGCAGGCAGGCAGGCATACATACAGAAAGGTTTGTGGGTTCGTTTCGAAAGCTCCTAGAAACTGAACGAAAAGGAGGAGGAGGAGGAGGATCGAATGAGAAGAAAGAAGAAAAGCCAGAGCAGCTCGCTATAATTCCCTTCCCCCCTTTCTCCGTTCCTTCTTCCGATAACTATTGTTCCCTTCGCGAATCTACATCCCAAAATACCGGCAACAGCACCTTATTCTCACCTTTAAATTCCTTTTTATCCACGAATTTATTAGAGGGAACACACATACACACGCGCGCACATTTTTTTTTCTCTTTTTCTTTTTCTCGTAAAAAACAATTCTTTTTTTAATTACAAAAGAAACGACATTTATATCGAATACGAACCTTTTTTACTTTATTTTTTCCTTTTGCACATATATCTATTATGACTTCGATAATACGTAATATAAATTTAAAATACCAATCGCTTATTTGTTTTTTGGACAACTCGTATATTCAAATCAAGATATACAAAATACGTATGAATTAAATTATGGGGTTTCAACGTAATTCCAATGATTTGGGAAAGGGAGGGGGCAGGTTATACGATAGGGAAGAATTAAAAAAAATAGTAGGGATAAAAATGAGGAAAAGGGATAGAAGAACATACGAGAGACAGTGAAACAAAGATAGAAATAGAAAACATAGAAGAAAAGAGCGAAAGAGAGGGAAAAGCAAAAAGGATGAAACACAAACGTGGATCGTACACAGCGTGCCGCCATTATTGACCATCCGTGTTTAGTACAATGGCATGGCGTGCGCCAATGCATATAATAAATATAAAACACGTAACGAGAGGGGTGGGAGAGTGGCAGGGGGGGCATGCTAAGGGCTCTGATAATGGCCATGGAGGAGGGAGTGAATAAACCCAGGAAGAAGAGGGCTGAATTTCGTATGGCCTTTAGTGATGAAGAAGAAGAAGAAGAAGAAGAAGAAGTTGGGAGCTTTCTTGAATCGGAGTGAGACAACAGGAATGAAAGAAATAAAGAAATAATAATAAAAATAAAAAAAAAAATAGAAGTGAGCTCTCTAGCTCTTTCCATTCAAGTTGCTCTCGCGGTTTTCGGCATTTTTTGTCGCGAACCGGAAGTCGCCCAGACGAGAGATTCGTACGTATAACCCTCCCCCTCCCTTCCTCCCTCCTGCGACACTGGCCTTGCCTCCCCATCTATAGTTCTCTTACGGACTTCCGGTTCCTGACTTTGAGACACGTATGATCATCAGTATGAGCTAAGGAACACCGAAGGTACAGTCCTACCCTTTTTATGTTTCTACTTTTCTATTTTTTCCTTCTTTCTTTTTACTTCTATATTCAGATCAAGATGAGTTCGAGTTTTATAGATGTTTTTTTTTTTAAAGCGGTTATTTGACCATTTAAAATGACTCGTATTATTTCATGTAAAAAGATGTAAAAAATAAATGGAATGTTATTAAATGAGAAAGACAGAAAAAAAAAATAAAGAAAAGAAAATAATAGAATACGAATATGACAGACTAATGGAAGGATTTTTAGTTGATATAAATGATTAATGATAACTTACCATTTCGCCACCTTGGAACTGTGACGAATAGCTTGTTACGCCATATTTCTATTCCTACAGGTAACGCATTCTCAGGTATATATTCTCCCATTGACATTGCGAGCTTTCTACTCGACTCGTCGGGATATGCAAAATCTAAAATCTTCCAGGAATATTTTTCTAAAAGCGGAGCTGGACCAAAGTGAGTAGTGTCCCATCCTCTGAGACTGTTACTTGCACAAATTCCAGTTAAAATTGCGGATAGTATATAATTAAGAATGATCAATTGCGTCGAGAAATTCATTTTTCTTCTCTGCGACATTTGTCGTCCTTTTTTTTCTACGGAAAGGGAAAGGGGGAGAAAAAATTATTTTCAAAGATTTTGTTAAACCAACCGAATTGTGTGATGGATGTTTATATTAAGAAAAAAAGAAAAAAATAATTAAATTGTTCATCGTATAATATGCAAATTTAATTAATAAATAAATATTTATATTGTAAGGATTCGAATGAATATTAAAAATGTATTCGTCAATTATTACAAAAAAATGATTTAACTGAAATATCAATTAATATGAGATACAATTTCACAAACTACTTTCTTTCTTTCTTTCTTTCTTTTTATTTTATCGTCACGCTTTAATTCACAGTTATTAGTCGATACTAAAAAATGAATGGGAGATAAATCGAAACGAATGACATATATAAATACATGTGTGGTATATGAATAATTCGAAGGTTAAGCGACTGAAAAGAAAGGAACTGATCAGAAAGTTAGTGTGAAATTTTTGGTTCGATCTGTTGCGTAAGATGAAAGTTATACCGAGTTCTTTAATATCACATGCTCCAATTCTCTTTTTATAACGTATGAATATAATACAAAAATGTATATTTATGAATAAGAAATTCTAGCAATCAGTTGTTGTAATATGTTAATAAAGATGAAAGATTATTTCTGGTATATTTTATCAATAATTATACAGTGATATTAAGTGGTTAATGAATTTTTTTTTCTTGTAAAAAAAAAAATAATAAAAATTTAATAACGGAGAAAAATTCTTACGTCATATACGCTATAAACTATTTCCATTTATGTATATATATATAAATAGTACTTTCTATATTCGCGTGAATCGTTCCCCCTATCTAAAAACTGGTTTTATGTTTCTGTCATGTTATTTACTACGCGTTTAAAACCACGTGGTAATTCTAAACACGTGAAATACAATGGGGGAGAAATATATTTTTGTCTATTTTTTTATTTTGTTTTTGCAATTACTTATATAAAAATAATAATTAATCAACGAAGATGACGCAATAACGATCTCGTTGATTAAAGTGAAAGTCCAAGAAGTCATGCGGTTTTTCGATAAAATTAAAATCATTTCAATGCTTTCTCCACGAGTACAGAATCATTTCAAATTTGTGTGCAAAATTCAATTCTATTTAAATGTAAAATTAGACGACGTAACTAAAGGATGTAAAAAAAAAAAAAATAAAGCGTTTAATAAATTTATATGAATTAAAAAAATCACACTATTAAATTTATGACAAATATAATCGACACATTAGAAATATCTGCCTATAAGATAATAGAATATGAAGAAAAAAAAATATAAATCTCCGTTTTGTTAAACCTTTGTACAACACTAAAGATTTGTTTTGTTTTTTTTTTAAATTAAAAAATTAATCGATAAAAAAAAATATATATATATATATACGATAAACGTTAAAAATTTTAACTATTTTTAGTATCATTAAAAATGATTACAGAGTATTATCGAATAAACAAGAAAAATAATAATTTAATAAAAAAAATACGCACTTATATCGATTAACGTATATTTCAGTTAAATGTTGTTCTATAAGTATTCGTAGAATAAAATTGAGAAAGAAAGCACTATTAAAAGTCACCGACGAATAATGCAGGTAAACTGTGGTTTCTTGTAATTGAGACCGGTTATATATGTAGCAGAAGAGAAGGAGACCTTACGGTGGGCTCGTTTCACCTTCTTCTACGTCACGAACCTCAAGAGAAATGTATCTCCCGGTGCGTTGGTAGTTTCGCAAATTGAACTTCGTTAGAACATACCTTCCTTTCGACTTTTGAGGAAAGTAGTATTACTCTCATCTCTTCTTTCACTACAAGTTTTCTTTTTTATAACTCCCATAACGCAACAAAAAAACGAAATGTAAACATTATTATGCCATTATTACTACATTATCCACCCTCGGATTATGCATATATTTATTTTTTATTCTATATTCTCTGCAAGTGTATTATTGGATTATTATTATTTTATCAATGATTAAACATTTAATTTTAATTTCATCAATATTTTTCTCTTTGTTACTTTGAGTATCGTATTAGATATTAAAGCTCATTTTAATTTAATGATATTCATATAATTATAATTTAAAGTACCGCAATTGAAACGGTGAACGAATCTATTTATATTTACTATTAATTTGCTATAGACACAATATCGTTTTCAAGGATAACTGGTTGGAGTCCAGTAAACATATTCTAAATAAATTATTTCAACGACAATGCACTATTTATACAAGTCATTTATGAATTATTTTGACATTGATAAACAAGAAATTCAATTTATTGACGTAAATATCATACGTAAATAGGCACGAAATATAAAGAATGTTCTAAGATAATGGATATACGAAAGATATGTGTTTTGCAATATTCGTGTATTAAAAAACACGTTAATCGCATTTTTCAATGGCAATAACAAACTTCTGTCAATGTTTTGCAATTTTATATAAATTCTATCGACATATGTGTATCAATATAAACATTTGCATTCTTATATTTGTAATCTTCAGAAAATTTATTACATTACACAACTATTTCACCGTTTTATTAGACAGTTGTCGAGCAATTTGCTTGTCTGTTTTATAGACTTTTTGAACGTATTGCTCAATTTGATAAAACTGGCACGTGGCGAAAGTGCATCAAAGTATGATCGAATGTGTAAAAAAATAAATGCGTGGGATAAATGATGCATGGAATTATTCAGGAGTGAAATAAATGTAAATCAATGAAATAGTGCTAGAGTTTAATTTAAATTTTCACAACGCGTCGAAGATTTAAAAAATTAAAAATAAATGGATATAAGTTTAAAGAATTGAAAAATGAATTATCGAAGTACGAATGAATCCGTATATAATTCGAAAAATATTGTTTTTATATTTAAATAATATAAATTAAATAATATATTATATATATAAAATATCTCTATTTCACGTAATCATCATTTAACATAACAGTTCCTGTACTATAAAAATTTAATTAGAAACAAAGTATTTAAAAAATATATGTTCATATTTCAGTCGTAATAAAAAACCTATTTGCAATAAAACTTGTAGAAAATCGTAAAGATTTACCATATCATTGTATCTAATTATGCCATTTCTGCTATGACTTCTAATAATGCGAGTTTCTAATTTATTAAAGTTTGACACAACGATAGCATCTTATTTTATTCGGTATCGGAATCAATCGATCATAAATTAAAATTATTGCTAGAAAGTATACTGAATGCGGAAAAGTTTAATGAATACGTTTTGTGAGAGAGAGAGAGAGAGAGAGAGAGAGAGAAACAGAGACAAAGAGAACAAAAAGACTATTCATTAATTGTAACAAGCTGATAAGAAAAAACCGTAATATATCTCATGGATGATCGGTTACGAAGAATGAATATCTGTGTGCGTTTACACGTACGCATTCTTATGAATCCGCAAGGAATTGCACACATAAACAAGCAGATACACACTCACACACACACAGAGAGAAACAAGACACTTTTCCTCCTTCCGTGATTTTTTATTAATCGTTACGAAAGCGAATTCTTTTCAAGAGTAATCGAAAATGCTTGTTGATTTAATGAAAAATCAAAGCGCACACACTTTAAACGTATAATTTCGGTTTAATTTATTATTACTACCCTCTTTGGTTACTTTCGGCGTTAACGAGCATCCCAATTTTAAGGTTGCGAACATAATCAGCTGGACAGTTTGTTTTTTTTTTCTTTTCCTTAATAATAACCTTCGAAAAGGAATATTATGAAATCGAATCGAAATTGTTTTTTTCTTTTTAATATAAAAATTTACACGTACAGAGAAAGAGAGAGGGGGATAATATAAATGATTTAAATTCGTTTCAATAATTCTCGAGTTATTTCAAACAAAGAAAAAAAAAAACAGAAACACATTTTATACCAATGCTTTTCTATATTTCGCAAAACAATGATTTCGATCTATCGAGTGATCGATTGGATGACGTTTATTGTCTACTCGTTAAATACGAATGGCAATTAGTGCTACGAGAAAAAAAAATATATTATCTCAGGATTTATATAACTTTGATCTTTAAAACGTTGCCCCTATTTTAATTATTTTTCTATATATATATTTCTTTTTATTTAAAAATTATTCTACTCTTCTCATTGTTCTTATATTTAATATCTTACAGTTATTAAGAAAGAAAGATAAAAACATTCGTAATATTAATTAATCTAATTTAATTTAATTTCCATTTATTAAGGAATAAAGTTGAAACCGATAAAACAACCATTTTTATTAACTATATACCGACCTAGCTTATTTTACAATTACCTAAAGCGATAGTAATCAATCGGACAATGACAGTATTTCCTCGTTAACGTCTAAAAAGTTAAATACCATTCATGAAAGGCAGTGTCAAGTTGTTAGAGATGTAAGACTCCGTTTGCATTAGTGTTTATATACGCGTGCATACACATACGTGATAGTAAAAATAAAAAAAAAATTTATACTGCTGTTTTTTTTTCTTTTTTTTTTTTTTTTATATTCATCTTATGTGTTTCATGGTCCATCGCCTTCAATTTATTATCAGATCGTATCGTATGTCTGTGATTGGAAACAAAAAATACCTTTTACTGTCAAGCTGTTAACCAACCATCCACCGCGTTAAAACTTTATGTCTTTTTGCCTGACATAGATTTTTTTTTTCTTTTTAAGAACGGGTAAACAGATTTGACGATTCGATAGAACTGAGACAGGTTAATATCCATGTAATCGGGACCCGTTTGATACTCGATAGCCGTTCTACTAGAGCAAACCAGTGGATTGCAAAAAAAAAAAAAAGAAAATTTCTTCTGATTTCGTAACATTTTATTTTCGATTTTTTTCTTTCTTCTTCTTCTTTTTTTCCTTCATTCATCATCAAATTCAGTCTCTAATATACATACGTATGTATTATAAGTAATTAATCTTACTGTGTAGGAATCTACTAAAGTATGTATTTAAAAAAATAAAAAATATAGA